GTGGCCGGTGGTGCCGATGCGTGCCCGGGGCCGGGTGGGGCGGGGGTGTGGAGAGTGGAGCCCACAAGCTGTCCAGGAGGAGCCCAAGCATCTGGGGGCGCAGGGAGCCCCGAGCCGGGCCACCGGGCTTCTCTGGCCACAGACCAACAATAACCCGATTCCCGACCGAGCCCACGGACTTGTAAACCTCAGAACTCCCTGCAAGGAGAAGACCTTCGTCCCACCCCCCCACTGCCTGAGAATCACAGCAAGTCAGGGGCGGAAGGGGCCTGGCAGCATCGCCTGAGGGCAGGGGACAAGAGCCAGTCTGAGAAGGCAAGGCCTCGGCCACAGCCCAAACTTGAGTGTGACCCGTCCCCGGGGGTCAGCCAGGGCCGGCAGGGCGAGGACCAGGGAGACCTGGGCAGGGGCTGTGGGAGGAAATGAGGCCATTCCATCAGAGCCTCGGCTCCTGGGGCTCCTCCGCCCGGCCCGCTGCCCAGCCTTGGACTCCTGTCCTGGACCCCAGCCACCCCGGGTTCCGCAGAGGCTTCCTGCCAAGCACTCGGGGGCGGGGGGGGGGGGGGGGGGGGGGGGGCGCTGTAGCAGGACTTGGAGAACATTAGCGCCCAGCAGGCAGCCCAGCCCCACCTGCCCCACACTGCCCCCAGGGGCTGAGGTGGCCAGGGAGGGTGGGACTCTGAAGGACTGCGAGGCCCAAGGATTCATTTCCTCCTCTGTAAATAGGTACAGTGGTGCTCACTCCCAGGATTTCAGGATTTCAGGAAAGCCCAGCACGGACGGGCCGCCCAGCACGAGCGTGTGGAGGGTGTCCACCAGGCCCGCGGGCCGACGGAACAGGTCAGCGGACAGCCCTGGCCAAGGCAGGCCTCCCCCACGCCAACTGCCAGTTCCCTGCTCCTCCCTAGGTCGGGCAAGGTCGGCCTGGGACCCTGGCGCTGTGGGGGGCGGGGCATCCTGAACCCACACTCCTAAATCTCCGGGGGACGTAGGGGCTGAGGAGGACCCAGGGTTGATGGGTAAGGTGGTGGAGGAGCCCGGAGCAACCCCGGGTCACAACCTCCAATCTGCACGACCAGAGGGCAGTGCTTTCTTTGCCTGGTGGGTCACACACGAGGCCAGATGGCTCCTGTTCCCTCCATGATCCTCTCGAGAGCCAGGGGTTTGCGGCACAGACCTCAGCACAGCTGGTCACCCTCAGGGCCCTGGCAGCAAAGCACGGCGAGGTGTCCTTCCCCCAGACACGTTCCGGTCGCGCCTGGACAGGGGCTGGGCCTGGCACTCTCTGAGGTCCTGCCAGCCCTGGGAGTCGGGAACGCTGTTGGCCAGGGCTCCACCCTACGGTCTGACCTAACTCAGGGCACCCTGTCCTCCCTCCTCAGCCCTGCGGTCGGCCCCCAAGGGGCTGGGAGCTGAGGAGCTGGGCCCTGGCCCGCCTGGCCCTCCAGGTCCTGCCCTTACAGGCTCACCCCACCAGGCATGACTCAAAGACATGTCACTGCATTAACAAGGGCCCAGGACGGGCACTCTCTCTTTTGATGAAATCCAGGCCCCTGTTAACAGGGACAAACCCAGCAGCCACACCTCGGTTTCTATGGCCTGGGGGAGGGGGCCCCTGGGGGCCGGGCTTGTCATTAAGGGCTGCAGATTTCTGGAGGCCCGGGCCTGGTTTCTGACCAGGGAAGGTAGAGAGAGCAGTGGGAAGGTGCCACCAGGCCTCACAGAGGCTAAGAGAATACACAAGCACCACACCCAGGACCATGAATGCCCACTGCATTGTTGGAGGTGGGGGCCCAGGGTGGGACCTGCAGGGGTGATGAGAAGTGGAAGGCGAGACATGCCGGGAAGCGTAGGCAAGTCTGAGTGGTCTGGCTCTGAAGAGGAGGCTTGGAAAAGCAGGAACTTCACCTGTGCATCTAGCTCTCCGCATCCTCAGAAGCTATTCTTCCAGGAAGCCTGCCCTGATGCCCCCAAGCTGGGCTTCCCAAGTCTCTGCCTCCTGCTACTACAGGAACCAGTCCCTGTCCTGAGAAACAAGTTTATAAGGCCGTGTCCATCCACCAGGCAGAGTCTCAGAAGGGTAGGTGTTTGCCAAGCCCAGGCCAAACACCGGGGAAGCTCGGGACGCAATGACATGGCTAAGAGTGAGTGACTGAATAGATGGGTGCATGGGTGAATGGACAATGAGTGGGTGGGTGCATGGGTGCATGGGTGAGTGGGTGCGTGGGTGAGTGGGTGCAGGGGTAAGTGGGTGCGTGAGTGCATGGGTGCATGGGTGAGTGGGTGCGGGGGTGAGTAGGTGAGTGGGTGCATGGGTGCAGGGGTGAGTGGGTGCGTGGGTGCAGGGGGTGAGTGGGTGGGTGGCTGGGGGATAGACCCCTCCAACATCCCTCAGGGAATATTTTGCCTTTTTACAAAGAACAATTGCCTCTCACAAACGAGGTGACTGCACAAGCAGGTGGCCTTGATGGTGAGGCCCTTCCCTGTTCGAGGAGGCAGCCAGGGCTTTTTGGACACGTGTGTGGCCCCCACTCCCACAGCTGCATCGTGTCACCTGGGAACTTCACCTCGCAGTGGAGACACTCTCGGCAGAGCCATCTTGCTCGGGGTACCTGGCTTATGCTGACCGCGTGCCCCTGAGCGGTGCCCCCTCTGGCTGAGGACCTCTGCCTGGCACCAGGCCGGACAGTCCTCGGGTTGGGCACCCAGGCAGGCAGACACCCAGGAGGGGCTCCACCGAGGTGGCAATGCGGGGGCATCTATGAGTGCGGGCGGGGGTCCTGGCACCTGAAGGAAACCTCACCCTGCCACCTCCCCAGCCCCTGCCCGGGAGACCCCAACAGCTCTTCCAAAGCATGTACATTCAGCGACTTGGGAGCTGACCCCCAGAAAGACCCAGAAGGGTGGGCGAGAGACCACTAGAGGAGACATCTTGGGAGGAGGGGAGACAGCAGAGGTGAAGGGCAAGGGCACCCCACGGAGCAGGAAAGCTGGGGAAGGGGGTCAAGGCCTCCAGAGAGAATGTAATTATGCCCTCCCCACGGAGCCCGGCCTTGTCGGAGCTCTGGTCGGTTGGCACTCTGAGCTCTCGGCCACAGCTGTGGCCGCCATGTGTGAACGGCCCATCCAGGCCCAGCTGCGGGGAGCAGGGCGCCAGGCCTCAGCCCTGAGCCGTACAGCGCAGCGACATTAATGAGGTCCTGGGCACCCGGCGCCCACGCAACCACTCTCTGCCTTGGTCTCCCAAATCGGGGTGGGGGGCTCAGAGGTCCTGGGAAGGCCCGGGGCGAGGCTGGCCCCCAGCGAGTGGTCCAGGACCAAAGGAGATCCCAAACTGCCAACAGCTACCCCATTCCGCCTCCCCCGGCCAATGCCAGGCTCCTACTCACCCCTCAAAGTCCACCTCCGTGGCGCTCAGCACCACGGACAGCACTCTGCCCTGTCCCTTCACAGATGCCACACGGCCATCACAGGCCGTCCGCACAGATACCCACCCCCGCTGGCCAGGGGGCAGGGCGTGGGCTGGGCTCAGCTCTGCCCCTGTAGGAGCCCGGCGAGGGGCAGAGGTGGAAGCACAGAATGTACACTCAGCACACGCCTGAAGCCCCCCAGGCCAGGATCCGGCAGCTCCACGGCCCCCCAACACACACACTAAACAAGAGAGCGGACGTATGGTACACAGAACTCCCGTCCCACCCAGGGGGCTGTGGCCCAAGTCAAGCGCAAGGTCCGATGGCCTTCCTGGCCAGACACGCACCCCCCCAACTTGGCCCGTGCCTCTGCTGTAGACGCTGCTACGATTCAGGGCTGGTTCAACAGGCTGGAAGTAATGGCAGTGGGCAGTGCACCACCCCCCCATCAGAAAACTTGCCTCCCGCTGTCCCCACACTTGTTTCTATGGCAACTTCCCAAGGTCAGCAGCAGCCTTGCTCCGATGGAGACAAAAGGCAGCCGGCACCTGCTTAGCCGGCCACGAGGTTACTAATGAGCCAGCGTGGCCCCCAGAACCTGGGACCACTGGAGCGCTTCTTCCTTTTCAGAAGGCTTGAGATCCCCCTGCAGGCATGGCCCAATGCAGCAAGCCGCCACAGAAAGGCCTAGACACGGCGGCTAACCAGGTGGGGACGTGCCCAGCTCGGCCCTGTCGTCCCCTGCGCGGGGACTCCCCCGCCGGCCCCACAGCCAGTGTTCGCCAGCCCGTCAGCA